TTATTCGTACGATTGTTCTCACTACTGTTATTGTTATTATCATTATTGCTGTTCTGCTGCTTGTTGTTGTTATTGTGGTTACTTTTGTTATTATTGCTGTTGTTTTGCGTTCTTGAGTGCTCCGGGCTGGGGGTTTAGGGCTCTTTGGGGGTTTAGGTTCAGGATTTAGGGTGTAGGGTTGGCAACCCTAAACCCTAAACCCTAAACCCTTGGGCTTAGGTATCACTGACATCGGCGCCAGTGCTCTGGGACAAGCGCTGTCCCAGACGGCTGGCCTCGGATTGCGAGAGCTGGATATGCGCGGCAACAAGGCCGGTGGATTCATCATGGTTCATCGATGTGGGTTTCCGAAAATTAGGGGTACCTTATTTTGGGGTGCAAATAATAAGGATCCTACTATTTAGGGTGCTATATTAGGGTCCCCTATTTTCGGAAACCCCCATGTACTTGAGATCCTTATAATAGCAGCAAAAATGATTATGGTGCCATGCATCAGGTTGGAGAGCATGGAAGCCTACGTCAACCACTCGGAGCTTAGCGACGATCTGCAATGTGCTCCGGGCATCTGCAGCGAATCTTAGGTCTGGAGCAGGCCAAAGCTAACGTGCTTGGCCTTCAGCGCTCACCTTGGCAATCGCTCGCTTTTGCCCGTGCTGTGTCACTGTAACCGTCTACGTAGCCCAAACGAAGGAAGCCACCACTCTGCATTATGATGATCCCCACAAGAAGGTACATAGTTGGAAGATGCCACATAGACATCAGGTTCTGGCTTGGACCCATGACCGTTGGACGTCCCCGAGCCGAGGCAGCAAGCTGTGATAGGCTGAGGTAAGGGCGCCTTACTTGGCATCACTGACATGATGAGTAACAACATTATCATGATTCTTGTTATTGTTGTCATTACTTGTCTGTTAGATCACCACTGATTATGATAAGTTCTGTCATCATTACTACTAACACGATGACAAGGCTACGTCCCAGCCCACCTGCGAGCCCGAGCCTCTTCCGCCCGCGCGCGGCCCTCAGAGCCACGGGCCTCGCAGCCTTTAGGGTTTAGGGTTTGGGTTTAGGGTTTAGGGTTTAGGGATGTTTTGGGTTTAGGGCTCATCTTTCAAATTGTGCCCAGGGACGAAGATTCCGTGACGGCTGTAATGTGAGAGCTTCAGACAACGAGGAGCCCTAGATCGCCCAACCATTATATGAAGAATAGCTGGTGTGTAGGGTCCTTAACACAAGGACCCAAATGGATCTAGTTTTCTGAAGTCTGTTTGTAGCCGCTGCCGAGAAGCCAATGATGCTCGCGGCGTGGTCTTCGCAGGGTTCACCCTCTCAGCTTGCCGGGCGTCATGTACAGCTGACTGTAGAGCTCACCATTACCTATAGTCTCCGTTGTGGTTCCTTGTGGGGTTACCTTAAAAGGTCCTAAATATAGAGTTAAGTCGTGAAACCAAGAAAGGAACCGCAATGATAGGAAGAGTGGAGAAGCTCCGGTCGCTTTGTAGATGCCAGAGGATGGCCTGGGTCCAAAGACGGCCTTTCTCTGACTTAACCGCTCCTAGCACTCTCGCACCGCAGAATGGAGCCCAAGGCGTAAGGATTTCAAGAGCTCGGAGCTCTTCAGTGTGATGGAGTGAGACCTGAATTGCGCAGGTGGTCGCGCTGACCTGCGCGAATCTCGCAGCGAAGTACTGGCAGCAGCGAGGTGGGTCCTGCCCCGGAACTAGCTGTCTGCTGCCTCCGCCACTGCACCTGCCTTGAAGGCATCCCTGAGCAACAACTGACGGGAGCTTAGCAGATCGTGCCGTGTTTGGGATTTGCGTGCACCAAGAGCCAGCACTGGGGCCCTGCCTCCAGTTTCTTACTGAGCTGCTTGAGGCACTGGCTCTCCTGCAATGCCTTCACCCGCGAAGACTTCGTAGCTGCTGAGGCAGCACCCGGCTCTTCACTTCCGCCCCCCCCCGAAGTGAGAAACAGCAGGAACTAGACAAGATCTCCGGGAGGTGGATGTCCTCCGAGTCCTGGACTACAACGTCCACTGGGACGGGGCGCTCTTCGCCGAATGGGCCTGGAGCCTTGCTTCTCACTGGGTCGTTGTGCCTTTAACTTTTCGAAGCCGCCTCTTTCTTGTGCTTTAGAAGTGCCTTCCATGTTTATGATAACAGAATATATTAAAACTCCACGGGATTATGAAACATATTAATAATATCATTTCTATTTTGGTTCTAAGGGCGCGCACAAGTCCTACAGTTTCTGCCTGTGCTCTGAGCCCAGGTGCCTCTTCTCCTCTTCTTCTGTGAGGATCTGCTGAAGGAGGCTCGAACGACCTGAAGCCTTCCTACGGTCTCCACGGTAGTTCCTTTTCAGAGTTACCTTATAGGATCCTGAGTACCTAAACATCCCAAAGTAGGTAAAATAATGGCCCAAAAACCTCTAAAAGGCTTTTTTTTCGACATACTTCTGGGGTCCAGGTATAAAGTTTGTTAAACCAAAAAGGGAACTGCAATGGAGACGATAGGTTCCGTAAAGTTGGAACCCCACCAGACATCAGTCGGAAGCCCAGGCGTCGGACATGGCCATCATCATGGCGGTGGCGTCCCATGTCATCGACATACTCGCCTTTCAGGACGGCGGTCGGTGATCATCATCTTCAGGTCGCTTGTGGAGAATGAGCGCCGGAGACTGTCGCAGGATGAGCTTATGTCCGCATACTGGCCTTCCGAGCCAGCTACTCAAGATGCAGTTTGCAAGTTCCGGCTTACCTCCCTTTTTTGCACAGGCGCTCCGCTGTCACATCCTCTAACCTCTCGGTTGCTGCGTCGGCGCTGACAACATGCTGAGGCTAGCTGCGGGCACGATTCAGGCCACGATCTTCTTGTGCACAAAGTCCTTCAAGGGGTGCCCTCACCGGGAGCTACCATGCAGCGATGCTGGTGATGCGCTTGCTTGACGTGCATCTTCGCCAGTTCTTAGGTACACTTTCTGCCGGCGAGTGAATCACCTCTGCCGTGCTCAGGATGCGCTTGTCTCGCTATGCATGTTGCTCTGCTCCGAGATGCTTTGATATCCTGAAAGGACTGCGAGATCAGCGCCCTGTCGGAAAAGATTTTGCAAGCTGCCGTCGGCAAGAAGGGGTGCGCCCGGGACAGCAGCTTGAAAAGCAGACGTCTCGGCCTGCCTGGGCAGGGCAGAGCTTATCATTGACGGCGGTGGCAGCTGCGATCCAGAGCCTCTTTCAGCTCCTTCCCTATGCATTTCAATTCCTGGGCCCTTGAAAGTAAGATGACGTGAGCATTCCACGGATGAGGCCCTGCCACCCGGTGAGTCTGACTCAGAGAAGCTCTGAGACTGCATCTGCCTGCCTGGTCCTGGTGCATGGGGGTGGTGCGCCAGGATTACAGAAACCATATGAATGAATCCACAAAAGGCCAGGATTATGTCTGTGGCCCGCTCGTTACTAGGCGAATTGTTGTTGTGATATGCGCGCAGATGGAGAGAGTGAAATGATCCGACACGGGAAAGTGCAGCCCTCACGTTGAACTCAACACAGAGGAGCATCGATATGTGCTGACATGAGGAATCCATCTGGCCAAGCTTGTTTCTTGTACAGCTGGCGGACGGAGCTTTGTGGACTCAGATTCGAAGCCCAGAGTTCTCGGAGTGCAAAGTTCGCGGGTAGAATCCAGGAAACGGAAGGAAAGGCGACACTGCCTGCGGATGGGCAGATTTCGCAGGCAGGAGGTCGACTGCCTCGGGTTGAAACGGAGTCGTCTGTAGCACTGCGGATGATTCCGCAAGATGTTGGGCACAGGGATGCAGAACCAGAAAATGCAGAGGGAGGGGCAGACTCAAGGAGGTGATCTACTTCGTGCGAATTTGACATGCTTGCGGGGTGAGGGGCGACTGTTCCGTCCCCATTCAGCCAGTACCATGCTGTCCTTGATTTGCTTTTGCTTCAGCCGGTTGGCATGGCCAAAGCAGGCCCTAAAATGTCAGCACTGCAAACAAGTCCCATACAGAGACAACTGAGCCCCCAGTGGAGCAGCATGCGCGCGAATGGCCACGACGCGCGAGCGCCTCTGTTCACGGAGCAGGTGTTCGACGAGCTGTGCGCCTCCGCCTTTTGTCACTCTTTTTCTTCTTTGACTCTTGCAGGCGAATGGAGGAGGCCGATGCACGTAATTAGTGCATTCACCTCAGTGCCAAGTGGATGCCGCACAGTGTCGCACATCTTAGATGTGATAGGGAAATCAGACCTGGTGCAGGCCCCCAGACGCAGAGGCTTTCTTGGACGCAGCTGGATGGAGAGAGGCAGCTCAGCGGCATCTGGAGCTGTCTGCCTTCAACGCAACTGCGAGGCTGTCGCAGGATCCCGATCGGCCAGCAAGACGAGCCGAGAGGGATGGAGTTCCGATGTGGCGCAGTGGCTCCATGAACTCCGTTGATTATCCGGATGACTGGCAGAGTTTGCAAAGAGAGGCGGGACAGGCAGTAACCTACAAGCCTTTCAAGTTCTTGATTGGAGCGTGGTCCCGACCCTACTTTTCATGCTCTGGCCAGGCGATGTTTTGCAGCTTAGCAGCTAGCTCGCTGGCAGCGAGAGAGAAGAAGAGGCTTCTCAGTTGCCTAGCGATAGTGAAAGTGTGCCAGCTCGGAATTGCACTGAATCGGAGGTGAGGAGATTGACTTCATCGTCAGATTCGGACGAAGCGTGCCTGCCGGGGCCCGAGTAGCGAGCTCTTGCTGTCGCCGGATTTTGCTCCACTCCATCGGATGCCCTTACGGAATGACCAACGCCCTTCACTGTCAGGGCCGCAGCGAGGCTTCGGTTCTCAAGTCAGCGTGCTTTCTGTTTTGCTGTCACGCGCCCGGAGGCCTTGGGATGCAGCGCGACCTTGCTCGAGCCCGGAGCTCGGAGCCTTCAGTAGCGCTTGCTTCGGCTATTGGTTTCTAGCAGCGCTTGGCTGGCGGCTGCCATGTGCACCCATCAACACTGTAGCTTGTGTGGCTCCCGACTCCAGTGCTTAGAGCATCGCTCTCGAGCTCCTTTGGGACCATAGGTTTTGGCCATGCCTTCTTGGGACCAAGCGCAGGTGGTCAAGATTCAGGGCTGGCGTGGGGCCGTTCTCCAGCAAGCGGGCCTGTTGGAGCTTGCCCGGGAATGCGGTGAGGAGTCTGTCCAGGTCATTCAGCAGGCTGCGAAGGGGGCGGGAGCAGTGTTCTTTCAAGCTATGTGCTGTTTGGTTGGCGTCTGGCCAGGTGCTTGATTCGTATCACCAGCTTGCAACGGCAGATGGCAGCTCCGAGCTTATCGATATGTTCAAGAAGGTGGCCGATCAGCTGGGTGTCTTGTCGCCGTTATAATAAGGATTTTGGTTTCCCTAGCGATTGGTTACTGTACATCCACGAAATACAATAGCATGCACTTTCCATCTGCTATCTTTGACAGAAGCAAGCTGAGGCGAGCTGGAAGACAGTGCGGAGGGCAACCAGACTTTGGAGGACCTTCACAATGTGCTGCGCTGGGACTTCTCCACCAAGGTGCAACGACTCAAGGACAAGGCGGGAGGCTGCAGCAACCCGTGCTGTTTTGTTTGAAAGACGTCCGCGGAATCGGTGCTGGTCTGCGCAGGTGGACGGCGGCCAGGTGAAGGGCCCTATCCGGCGCTGGTGGCAGGAAGTGTGGCCTGCCAGTGGGCAATGTGTTGGTTGGGCTTGTATCCCAATCCTCAACCGCGAAGTCCAACAGAAACGTAATCCCTGGCGGCAGGATCAGTGCCGATTGGCGGAGAATGCAGAATGGCACCCCGACTCCGAGGCGCTCTTGCTGAGTTTTCCGTAGATCTTCTCGCCAGCTTGCATTTCATGATTCGCATTTTCTGAGGCCCGCCTTGTGGAACGACTCGCGCCCGACGCCCCCGAAAGCGAGGATGGCCTGGAACTGGTTAGGCGACGTGCCCAGACATTCAAAGACACCCCCGACGATGAAAAGGTGGCTTTCTTTCTGGGCAACTTCAAGCACGAACTCTTCGAATTCATGCGGAGTCGGGCAGAGGGTTTCCTGGGCGCAGAGAGTTGCGACGAGAAGGAGAAGGACCTGGAGAGCTTGTTCGAAGGCGAAGATCTCTGGTACGAGGTTTTGCTAGAGACTGCCACGATCGTCGCTGGTTGTCATGCTCAACCATCGGGCGAGGCAAGAGCATCTCTGTTTGGCCTTGATTGGACCGAAGCACCGCTCGAGAGCATCAAAGCAAAGCGGGCCCAGCTGCTGAAGTCGTTCCATACAGACAAGACAGAAGTTCTGGCGCTGCATGTTCACACCAGGCACTATGATGCGGATGACGTGGAGGAACGTGTCCGTGCAGACATGGAGAAGTTCAATGCCGCGACCGGCTGTGTCAACGAGGCTGGAAGGGCCATTGAGCAGGAGCGAGCTTTGCTGAAGGACCTGCAAAGCCGCGTGCAAGACCTGGAAAGGAGGGCCAAATTGTGGGAAGGCCGAGCTGCGCAGCATGCGCAGCAGGCAAAGCAGGACCCATCCAGCTTGCACTGGGCTTGCAAGCGAGAGGCTGCCAAATCCGCCCGTGAGATTTGGGATGAGCTCATGCGCCTGCTCGACGGGAGTGAGGTCGAGGAGACTCAGCAAGTGAAGCGTATCCGGGTACGACTTTCCATCGCCGAGGCTTGCGTACTGGAGGGCCTGCCGGCCAACGTGGCGCAGCTCTACGTGATTGGTGCCAAGCGCCTGTGGCATCGAACTTGGCCGTTGGACCAGCAGAAGCAGCGCGAACACAATGCTCTCCTCAAGACGATTCTCCGAGTCGAGGCGCACGTGCATGAGCCAGAGGCAAGCTCAAAAGAGGAGCATCCGGCAGACAGAGCGAACAGCGGCGGCACTAAACAAAGCGGTCCTTCAGATTCCCTGGCGCTGTCACTTCTCCCGACGGCATGCAGGGGCAAGCGCCTGCGCAGTGACCTCCAGGTTGTCAAGCAAGAAGACTTGGACAGCGTGTTGCAGTCGACCAAGACCTTCGACATGGACGCGTACCAATTGATGGTGCCCACCTTGGAGGTTGCCCGTTGTGATGCTACCTCTCCTATGTGCCAGACTCTGGTAACCTTGAGGGGACGCATCGTGAGCACGGTAGCCCGCGAGGGCGTGGGATTCTCGGCTGCCATGGCGGGGGTGGGGTCGATGCTGGGCTGCCTGGCTACGGCGGGAGTCGGTGCAGTGCTCCTGACAGTTGGCGGCGGCTTTCTCTGCTGGCAGCGGTGCCAGAACACGGCACGTGGGAACTTTTTGAGGCAGATGCACCATGTGGTCCGCGAAAGCCGGAATGTGCTTCTGATCGGCGGTGCAGAAGCCTTCCTCGAAACGCTGTGCATGCCATTGCCAACGTCGATAGAGCTGCGGGAGGCAGCCGGGAAGCAATTATTGAACTATCCGCACAGCCTGGAAGAACCTCTCAAAGATTTCCAGGGCAGTGTCAAGTTCCTCCTGCACTGGGGGGTTTGTCCAGTCTTCATCGGACAGCTGCTTCTGCAGGTAGCCGAGATCTTCGCTTCCAGGCGAATCAGGACGATGAAGGTCGATGGCGAGGTGCAGGCCCCGATGTACAATCGGCTGAAGATGCAGGCGGAGGACATCCTCCGGTATCTGGAGGTCAGCGTGGCTGAGGGCGGGGAGTTGTTCAAGAAGGCGAAAGAAATGGACATGGAGGCAAGCGAGCGGGAGTGCGCGGAGCGTGCCCTTTTCACCGGCAAGGCAACCTTTGAGCCACACCAGGGGAGTAGTCTGGAAGAGTGTTTCTCGTGGTCCAACTTCTCTGAATGGTATTTGCACAGTGAGCTTTCTGCAGCTGTCAAGAGCAATTCAGCCGCAGTCGGGATGAGTGTGAAGAAAGCCACGCAGCACTTTCAAGACGGCTCTTCCAGAGAGGTTGCCGACCTCAAGGGCCTGGCGAGTCTTGCGAAGCTGTTTGCGAGTTCGGACGTCTGCCGAATCGAGCTTGAGCTTTCGCAAAGCCTCTGGTCCACTGTGAGCCAAGTCTTCTCGTATTTTGTGAGCGAGACGCCCATCAAGAACGAGCAGCAGGTCCAACTTGAGCAACTCCTCCAGATGACCAGGATCAACATGGCGATGCTTCTGCTGCTCAACCAGGATTCTATGCAGGAGGAAGATGGAAATGTTCTGAAGGCAGAGAAGATCTTGCAAAAGGTCTTGAAATCCGCGCAGGCTTCAAGCGCTTCCTCAGACTTTCAGGTTCGCGTCAAGGCTGTGCAAGACTTTTTCGAGGTCTTCACGGGGCGCCGCCTCAAAGTAATCGAGGACGGCGCATGCCAGGCAGAGACCTTCAGGCATGAGGTTTGGAAGTTCGCAGATGGCGAAGAATGCATGGTCAGGATCGTTGGAGCATCTGCCATGTCGCAGACACCGAGCTCGACAGATGACGAGATGAAGTCCATGGCTGTGGCTTTCCTCACTTCCATGTCGTGCAACGGCAGCAGACGCCGGCCTGAAGAAATCTGCATTGAAGCGTATGCGCTCGTGGATCGCATGGCAATGGGGGAGCAGAGCTGTGCTCGGGATGCCCTGCCGCATTTGGCGGAGCGTTATGCCATAGGAAAGGTGGTGGTGTGCAAGCCCCCTGCAGAGTCACAGACCGCCATGGGTGACCGAGCCGGGCACAACGCAGAGATGGAAACAGTCTTCGACGCTGGCGCCGACGCGAAAGGCGGGGAGGTGTGCTTGGTGGATGATGGCAAGAAGTGGAGTGCAGTGCAGGTCTTCAAGGCCGGAGATGTTCACCTCGCAGCCCGAGCACTTGCCTGTGACCTCAAGGATCATCCGAGCAGCACTGCAGTCCCGAGCCCGAAGAGGGTCCTAGAAGAGCTTGAGAAAGCTCTCCGACAGCAAGGACGGGAGCAGGGCGATCGGAGGCTAGCTTTGGCAACGGAGCTGTTGAGGATCCACTTCTCTCCCGCTTTACCCAACGACTTCCGCAAGGCCGAGATCATGATGTCTTGTCTAGGCATTCTGTCGGAGGAAGGGATGCACAAGCTCATCACTGATGAAATCCTCGCCGACACGCAGCGCTTCCTGTGGTTCCCGTCGATCTTCTCAAAGATCTATTTGACCAAGGCGCATTCCTACTTGTGCCAAGGCAAGGCGAATTCCTCCAAGAAGTGCACGGATGTGGTGGCCATGACTCCGGAGTATGTGAGCGGCAGTGCCAGCGAGAAGGAGTGGCTGGAGCGCTTGCAGATGGGCCAAAGTCTGGCGCTGCAGTATTTCGAGACTCCTACAGCCTACCAGGCCGAGCAACATGTCTGGGGCGAACGCAGCAGCATGGGTCGTCGATGCAAGTCCGGAAAGGCCTTATACAGCTACGAGGTGGCTGGGAGATCCAAGCCAGCAGAACCTTACGGCATTTTGAGTGTTGATGGGGCAGGCGTTCAGAGCATCATGCCCGCTGCGATCCTCAGCGAATTGGAGTTGCGGCTCCACAAGCCACTGCACCAGGTCTTCCGCCTGATGGCAGGGGCTTCGACCGGAGCCGTGATTGTGGGTGGCCTTGTGACGCCGCTGAACCAGGCGACAACTCCTCGCTACAGCGCCTGCGACATCGCCAAGTTCTTAGTGTTCCAGCACAAGCAGATCTTCAGCATGACCCCCGCTGGAAGCCTTCCTCGAGAGGGTTTGGATAAGATTTTAGGGTCCAGGACTTCCTACGACGACAACCAATCCGATCCCATCTATCTGCGAGACACGCTCGGTAACATCATGGTCACTGCTTGCAGGGAGGACGGAAGCCTTTGTCATTGGGTCACCGAGGAAGCCAAAGCTGGTGGGAAGGACCAGTACCCGAAGAATCTCAAGCTGTTCGATGTGCTGAGGCCCAGAGAGGGGTCTGGAGGGGGCTTTAACGTTTGTGCAGTGTTGGGAAAGGCATGCGAGGTCATCAGGACGGGCGCAAAGGCAAAGGTTACTGATGCACGGCTGCTGGTTGCCATCGTAAAGTGTTCGGGCCAGGAGTTCTGCAGCCGGCACTTTTCCTCGTCATGAGTTCAACGGCCTGAAGTACTTCGATGCGAAGTTGGAGGCTTGCAACCCGGCAATGCAAGCACTCAGATGGGCTGAACAAGACAATAAACGTGAAAGAAGCATGCTGCTGCTTTCTCTGGGCTGCGGTGCGACTGAAGACGACTTGTCCGGCACCTGTGCCGGCGTCCACTGCGTCCACTCCGAGCTGCTTCAAGGCAATCGTGGTGAGCGCTTCATGTACCATCGCTGCGACCCGAAGCTGCAGACGAAGCTGTCCTCGTCGTCGGGTATCATGACACCCGAGGGCATCGCAACATTGCTGGACACCGCAGAGACGTACTTGCAGGAAGCCTACTGCTCCGAGTCCAACTGGTTCAACAAGATGATTGAGAAGCTTTCCGTTTGACATGAACGTCTTTGAGATGCAGAGTGAGCAGTGAGCATCCCCGGTGCGGCTCGAGTCTTCCCCGCCGGCGGGCCTAGTAGACCCGACGGTTGCAATCGTGCCGCCCTTGCAGCTTGGAGCAAGAGCCCCGCGAATTCAATTCAGTTCCGACTCTCAGGCCTGCATGACCTCTAGCTACTCTAGTTATATATGGCCTTAGCAATGGCAAGACGGCATACGTCCGAAAAGCACGGCATTTATGAACACCTGGATGGAGTAAAAACGCCCCACAGATGCGGCAGCTGGTGACCACTTGTTCCACTTATGCGGAGTCTGTTGATGCGCTCACGCTCATTTCGTTGCTTGCGCGGTTTTGGCCTTGCAGGCCGCGACAAGCATGCTCCTGAGCGCCAGCCTCATGCAGGTTGGCTGAATGCACACGTCAGCTCAATCATGCTTGTCAACTCCATGCTTTTGTGACTTTATTGTTGGAAAATATTTCAGAGCGATTTTGCGACGTTGCAGACTTCGATTTGATGAGGCTCTCAAGTCGTGTTAGGGCTCGGATGTGATCACCCGAGCTTCCCCACTTGTTATCCGCTTTTTCTGAGACTGCTGGAAACGGATTGAAGGGGTCAAAGCATCCGAAGCTCGGCTCACATGTTCGGTATGCTTATTTCGTTCAACACATGGAAGTAGCAAAAGTAGCTTGTATTGTACGCTCGCGAGTCTCCCAGGACACTTCTTCTCACAGTCGTCGCTGTGTCGCATCACGTAGCGGCTCGGTTGCCAAACACCTTTCTCACTTAAGAAGCTTGGTCACGATCAGGACAGTCCGGATGAAACCACATCAACAGCCTTCCTGTACTGCCATGACTATTTGGCATCTGTTCTGTTTGTTTCATGTTTCAGCATGGCTGCTGATGACTTGATGCCCATGGTTGTTGTCTGCAGGCTTTCCATTTTCGAAGCTGCAAAACATGCCAGGCCATGCATGTGCGTTCACTCCAGCGAGAGTAGAAGAGGCTTCTCAGTTGTCCAGTGAGATTGTGCCGGCTCGGAATGAATGGGAGGTATGGATGGAGATGGTCTTCGTCGTCAGGTTCGGACGAAGAGTGCCTGCCGGGGCCCGAGTAGGGAGCTCTTGCTGTCGCTGGATTTTGCTCTACTCCAACGGATGCCCTACGGAATGACCATCAACGCCCTTCATTGTCACTGTCGCAGCCAGCGGTCGGCCTGCTTTCGGTCTTGCTGTCACGCGCCCGAAGGCCTTGGCCCTCGTTAGCCTTTGCCTCGGCTGCCACTTTCTGGCTGAAGGCTCCTGCCATGGTCATGTATGTCATCGCTGGTGATGCGCTTGCTTGACGTGCATCTTCGCCAGTTCTTAGGTACACTTTCTGCCGGCGAGTGAATCACCTCTGCCGTGCTCAGGATGCGCTTGTCTCGCTATGCATGTTGCTCTGCTCCGAGATGCTTTGAAATCCTGAAAGGACTGCGAGATCAGCGCCCTGTCGGAGAAGATCTTGCAAGCTGCCGTTGGCAAGAAGGGGTGCACCCGGGACAGCAGCTTGAAAAGCAGACGTCTCGGCCTGCCTGGGCAGGACAGAGCTTATCATTGACGGCGGTGGCAGCTGCGATCCAGAGCTTCTTTCAGCTCCTTCCTTATGCATTTCAATTCCTGGGCCCATGAAAGTGAGATGACGTGAGCATTCCACGGATGAGGCCCTGCCACCCGGTGAGTCTGACTCAGAGAAGCTCTGAGACTGCATTTGCCTGCCTGGTCCTGGTGCATGGGGATGGTGCGCCAGGATTACAGAAACCATATGAATGAATCCGCAAAAGGCCAGGATTATGTCTGTGGCCCACTCGTTGCTAGGCGAATTGTTGTTGTGATATGCGCGCAGATGGAGAGAGTGAAATGATCCGACACGGGAAAGTGCAGCCCTCACGTTGAACTCAACACAGAGGAGCATCGATATGTGCTGACATGAGGAATCCATCTGGCCAAGCTTGTTTCTTGTGCAGCTGGCGGACGGAACTTTGTGGACTCAGATTCGAAGCACAGAGTTCTCAGAGTGCAGAGTCCGCGGAAACGGAAGGAAAGGCGACACTGCCTGCTCATGGGCAGATTTCGCAGGCAGGAGGTCGACGGCCTCGGGTTGAAACGGAGTCGTCTGTAGCACTGCGGATGATTCCGCAAGATGTTGGGCACAGGGATGCAGAACCAGAAAATGCAGAGGGAGGGGCAGACTCAAGGAGGTGATCTACTTCGTGGGAACTTGACATGCTTGCGGGGTGAGGGTCGACTGTTCCGTCCCCTTTCAGCCAGTACCATGCTGTCCTTGATTTGCTTTTGCTTCAGCCGGTTGGCATGGCCAAAGCAGGCCCTAAAATGTCAGCACTGCAAACAACTCCCATACAGAGACAACTGAGCCCCCAGTGGAGCAGCATGCGCGCGAATGGCCACGACGCGCGAGCGCCTCTGTTCACGGAGCAGGTGTTCGACGAGCTGTGCGCCTCCGCCTTTTGTCACTCTTTTTCTTCTTTGACTCTTGCAGGCGAACGGAGGAGGCCGATGCACGTAGTGCATTGCCTCAGTGCCAAGTGGATGTCGCACAGTGTCGCACATCATAGATGTGATAAGGAATTCAGACCTGGTGCAGGCCCCCAGACGCAGAGGCTTTCTTGGACGGAGCTGGATGGAGAGAGGCAGAACCTTCAAACCCTAAACCCTAAACCCTATAAACCCTAAACCCTAAGCTCAGAGGCAGCTCAGAGGCTGTCTGCCCTTCACCGCAACTGCGAGGCTGTCGCAGGATCCCGACTGGCCCCCAAGCAGCTGCTTTGCTCTGAGATGTCGGAAGGACAGCCAGTACTTAAGGGATCATGGGACTTACGTAAGTAGGGTTATAACTAAGGCAACTATACTTATAACCCCAATTTGGGGGACTTATAACCTTACTTACTAAGTCCCATGGTCCTCCAAGTACTGTATCAGTAGCCTCTTAGAAGTGCTTTGATTGGAGAGACGAAACAGCCACTGGCGCCACAAGGCTGGACCGCGTCGTCCGGACCCTACCTTTGATGCTGTGAGAACATGGGGGTTTCCGAAAATAGGGGACCCTAAGATAGTACCCCAAATAGTAGGATCATTGTTAAGGACCCCAAAATAAGGTACCCCCTATTTTCGGAAACATCCACATAGACACTGCAAAAATCTAAGCCGCTGGAGCCTGGAGCCTAAACCCTACACCTCTGCAGCCCTGCACTCGAAATAACACCTCTGAAACCCTAGCCCCTAAAACCGGACACAAATCCGCCAAGGTACATGCGCATGCACAACCGCTTGCTGCAACATGCTGCGGCGATTCAGGCTCGTGTCTAACTCTTAACAGACGCCAAAATCCCAACAACTTCAAATTCCCACGGTTGTACGCAGGCAGAAGGACAGCAAGCGCAGGAGGATGCACAGGAGCGCACTGGCATGGAGGCCAGCAAGCGGATGAACACAAGGCTGTGCATTGTATGCTAGTATAGAGTTCAAATGTAGTGCTATACTACAGACAGCATGAGATGACGGCCGGGGAGCAGTGAGAGAGCCAGGAGTACGGGAAAATTGCGATCATCCCAAGCACTGGACCAAGCCGGTACGGCATTCTGGAAAGGTGCCCCAAAAACCAAGCCCAGTCCCCAGACCCTAACCTCGAACCCTTAGACCCTTAGCCGAAGCCCACCAAACTGACACCGAACTCAATCTCCGAAGGCGCCGACCATTGCCAGCTCCCTGAAGTTGCTGAAGGAGGAGGTGCGCTGTCTGAATGGCAACAGAAGTTCTGAGCATATGGGATTCTGCGGCTCCTTTGGTTGGATTAAGGATTTTTTGTTTTGGGGGTTAGATGGTTCTTCGGTTTAGGGTAAAGGTTTCTTGCTGTCGCCGGTTTCGGGACATTTAGGGTATCAGCGAACTCCAACGCTTCTAAGCAGGTCTCCCCTAATGGTCAGACCAGCATGGGTAGTTGTCAAAATTATGGTCCCTTTTGGGGTTCCCTAAATAATAGGTGCCGTATTATAATAAGGACCCAAAAAGGGACCATAATTTTGACAACCACCCGCATGTGTTGGTACCCTTTCAACCACTGTAAACCCACATCCAGACGGCACGAGGTTTTCTCGCTGTGCCCTTTGCATTTCCTGATCTCCGGCATCGTCATCTCCTTCGTGCTGGGCACCCGGCCTTGGATTCCTCATATACGGGCTTGTATGGGTTTTGCACCGTTGTCGGTTTTTTCAAAAAGCTTGTTTTAACCGGGCCATGTAGAGGTGTTGAGGGGTTTTATCAGGTTTTCTTGGTTTTCATATTTATTATAGGTTTTTGCGGTGTGTTGGGGGCATCTGAGAGGATAGAAAGATCTCCGTGCCTGGTCCAGGCTCACGATGCTTAGCTTCCTGGTGCCCGCAGTGCAGGGGCAACTGGCCACAGCCCCAGATCTGCTAACCCTAAACCCTACCTTAAGAACCCAAAACCTACTTTTTTGTAGGGTCCCTATAAATCCCCATATTCGGGTTTATAATAAGAACCTACAGAAAAGTGTTTTGGGTTCTTAAGGGTTCTTAAGGTAAATCCTACTTGGAGGACCATGGGACTTAGTAAGTAAGGTTATAAGTCCCCTAATTGGGGTTATAAGTATAGTTACCTTATAGTTACAACCCTACTTACTAAGTCCTATGATCCTTTAAGTACTGTTTGTCGCTTTGGCTTTGGCAGGTCGATGTTGCCGTTGATGCAGCGAGGAAGTATGCGCAACAAGGCCAGAACATCAATGCTTGGTTTGGAGGTTTCTTTCTACTTCTCGTAGCTGCTTAAAATATCAAGAATCAAGATTTTATGGCATGGCTAGTCCTAGTTATTCGTACTTTGAGTGACTACCCATCGCTAACCGCAAAATTTTGTTTCCGCAATCACCGGTTCCAGATGGTCACTGCCAGGACTAGGACTGCTGGCAAGGAATGAGAGCTGCTTCGGTTCCGGATTTTATGATTTAATATCCTGTTGTAAACCCTACAAACCCTAAACCCTAAAACCCTAAACCCTAAAACCCTAAACCCTAAACCTTCAAACCCCAATAAAACAACCCTACAAGCCGCTTGGTGTGAGATGCCTTGCTCCGTACCTGCCAGTGGCAGCTGCTTGGTAGGTCTTCCTATGTCCCGCGGCTGCCCGCCACTGCTGCTCAAGAAAAGGACTAAAGGAGCGACCCTGAAAGGGACTCTTGGGGTTATATAGGGGCTTTATGAGACTATTTACTTGGTATACAAGGGTTGTATAGGGTTTTAGGATTTCGGGTCCCTTCTAGGGGTCCCTCCTATTGTCCCTGCTGCTTCTGTTATGACCAGTGCCGTGGCTCTAAGCACCGTCATCATCTAGCGGAGCTCTTTCTTAGTCCTTCTGTTGCATCCTATATGTTATATTTTCTCATGGTATGTTGTACACCCTAAATCCTAAACTCCTAATCCTAAACCCTAACATGGTGTAAGTGATTTTGTCTAGCTCTTCATGTCTAAACCCTAAACCCGAAACCCTAAACCCTAAGCCCTAAACCCTATACCCTAAACCCTAAACCCTAAACCCCAAACCCGAATTTGGCTCCATGCCTTGGCTCCTGGCAGGGGGGCCGGAGTCGGTGGACATAGGGGAGGTTCTCTTCGAGCCCATCGTGCTGCTCTCCGCGCGGCTCTCTGATGTAGGGTATTGTAGGGGTTACTTGGAGGACCATGGGACTTAGTAAGTAAGGTTATAGGTTATAAGTCCCCTAATGGGGGTTATAAGTATAGTTACCTTAGTTATAACCCCACTTACTAAGTCCCATGATCCTTTAAGTAGGGGGGAGAGCTGAAGGTAAACCCTTCCAAGGCACAACACCTGAGCCCTTAGGCCTTTGGCACCCTAAACTTCCTGAACCCCCAAACCTAGAACCTAAACGCCAAGCCCTTAGAATTCGTCTGCCTCTGCTTGGAGAGCGTCCTTCGGCTTCTCAGGTTCTCATGTTCAGCAGCTACTTCTGCGAGATCCTGGTTGGTATCCTGTCCGGGACCTGCTTCGAAGAGCTCTGCCAGAGCGTACGGACTGTAGAGTCTATACTATAGAGTCGCATAGCTGATGCTACGGAGTTGCATGCCATAGAAATCAATTCTGTTTGCTTCGGTTAGAGGACTTAGGAGCAGCGCCGGAAACCCAACTGCATGAGGTTTGCCATCTGCGGACACACCACGGTGACCCGCCTGCGGATCAAGCTGTTCAGGCTCGTAGGAGACACATTGCAGTTTCATAGAATAAAGGTTCTTCTTTGTGAATGTCAACAGACGGCGATTGCGACGACTGCTGTCATTAGTCTTGTCGGTGGAATCGCTTCAGTTTCTATACATATTGCAGCGAACATCTGCTGTCATCCTGGAATCACCTGGTCTGAAGAATGGGGCTTTCTGAAAATAGGGGACCCTAATGTAGTGCCCTAAATACTAGGATCCTTAACATAAGGACCCCAAAATACGGTACCCCTAATTCTCGCAAACTCCCAAATTGTCCAGACTCTTTGCCGGACCTTGGCACTGGGAGCCTCCGACAGCTGCCTTCGTCTGGACCAGAAACCGCGTGAAAAATCAAGCCTTTCTACATCCTAGGCCCAGCCATCATGGCTTTCTGGTAGAGGCTTGTGATCAGAACCCTAAAAAAACCCTAAACCCTAAACCCTAAATCCTAAACCCTAAACCCTAAACCCTAAACCCTAAACCCTAAATCCTAAAACCCTTCCCGGAAGACTTCAAGCCCGGACCCTGAGACCCTGAAGATGAGCTGGAGGAATCTGACGGAGCAGGAGATTGCCTTCTACGACTCCCATGCTGAGACCCAGTACCGTTCGGGCTTAAGGTTAGGGGGATGTCAGCTCATGGTTCGGGGTTTAGCCGGGTTTGGGGCGTTGAGTGTAAGATTTGGGGCTTAGGGTTTCATGTGACTGCTGGAACATGTGTCATGATACCAGGTAGCACTTCGTTGTGCCGCATTGCGTTGCATGTCATGCGTTGGAGCGCACATCTCCGCACTGAAACCACGTTTCCCATGCCCATGAAGGTGAGCGGTGAACTCTCCAGCCGGCTCATCAACGACTCGCAGGCAACCTTGTGCTGAGCCAGAGAAGCTGAAGCTGCGTCAGGAAGTGAAGTGGGATGGATCGGCAGGCCCTGTCCTCACTCACGCAGTTCACCACCCAGACAGTGCTGGGTGCTGCGTGGGCCTTATCTGGGTAAATTGCCAGGTCGCGTCCGGACTGTTCGGATTTCCGGTTCTTCAGATCGACACGCTGACCCAAGGTGTTGTCAAGGAATGTCAAGGAGAGCTGTCGAACAAAACCCTCGACCCCTAAACTCTAAACGGCCCCTCAAAAGGTTTGTGACCCGATCCATGTGCTACATTTCAACGCTGTTAACGCAAATCGGACAGCATACAAGGCATCTAGTAAATTCTCAGAATCTTTTCAATACTGTTGGAGCTGCTCCCGGACTCTCTTAAGTAAGCCAAGTATGGAACCTGCGTTGCACGGATAGCTCGCAGCATCTAAGAGGACACGCGTCAACCTCTCACGGATACGAGGTCGTCAAATTCGCGGGCTCCTTGATAGCCATGTATGCAACTCATCCTCAACTGGCTCTGATTGCCGGGTGCTTGGAAGCCACGAAGTGTGTCTCAGTGCTTGCAGCAGGTTGACGCTGTTCTGTTTCATGTTAGCATGCCACGAGGCCACGATCATCACGCCCATCAACATGATCTTAGTCAGGTGCCGACAGTGGCATGGACCAGAAGTGATCTGCGCCGCGGTTTTAAGTCATTCGCGTAACCGCCAGGCGCACTGGAAAGACCGTGGGCCACTATGGCGTCGTGCAGAATCATGCCATGGCAAAGGCACAGCTTTGGTTTGGAGTCCTCCTTTGTTGGTTTCAGAAGGGGCGCTGGAAACCAAGTGGCACATGATCCCAACAGACGCAAAATTTCAACAGAGAAGCGGAAGCCTCGCACTCAGTATGTCTTATGTTCTTTTGGGAAATGACAGGCCAATGCGGTTGCGGTGGAGGTGTTGGGCAGCATTCGGACAGCCGCAGGCCCAGAGGAAAGGAGAATAGTGTGTGTGAGACAGATCCGCCTCCGCTCCCCTGAACTAACTGTTTTCCGTTTTGTTCGAGAAGGCTGGGGGAGCGTGAGCCCCAACCAGGGCACAGCAGGAGCCACAAACCCGAAGAAGCCTGCCCGAATCTGTTTTTGTCACATCCTTCGCATACCCACCCAGTGAAAGAAACTGTAGGCAGCTGGAAAGCCAGAGAGCTGACTCATCCCTTATATGGGGATTTCCAAAAATAGGGGACCCCAATATAGCACCCCAAATAGTAGGATCCTTATTATAAGGGCCCCAAATAAGGTACCCCTAATTTTCGGAAACTCCCATATAGTACTCCTCCTGCATCAGAAAACAGTGCCACGCACAACAGCATCCGGGCAACTGCAGTTTAGTTCATCCTTAGTCTGACGATGCCTAGGTTGCGGATTTCAGAGGTGACCTCAAAAAGCAGCAGTTATGCAAACACATCGCGCATTTCGAGCCTCTTTGAAGCGCACCTGAATTAGCCGCCCTATGTTTTGCTCATCGAAACCTGTGGCAGTCATAAGGAGTAGCCACAGGAACGTATTACCAGCCGTGCAAATTAGCAGGGTGGAAGATTTACGGCACTTATGCAAAGATTGCCGCGATGATTTCGGTTGTTCGCGAAATTTTGCGAATTTGCAGTATCATAGGTATCTCACTTTGTAGTACTTGTCATGGTTTTTGAGGAGTTTCTCATGCTGGTACCCGCTTCCAATGTTGATGTTGTCCGCCCATAATATGAGCATGTAGTTGGTCATGCCATGTATATTGTAGTAGTTGTGGGTTCCTCAAGTTAGATGTTTGTCACAGTGCCAGAACATAGATCCATATCTCAGTGTCTAAACAGACAGAGAGTATCCAAACACATTTTGAAGTCTTGCGCCTTCAGAATGTTTCTATATACTTTCTATGATTATAATATGTTGTATTGTCATTCCTGCACATCAGATGTCGTTGCGATCCTTCACCAACTCAACATCAGCCCGAGGTGCAGTCGAATGTTGGAGAGCAGCAGGAGGTGCCCTGCTTTAAGGACAGTGATGAGCACTATTCATAAGCTTTTACTTCGAGGACGGCGCTTGTCGCTGTCACCACTGTTGCGGATGTTGCCACTGTCATTTTCGATATCAGCATTGAAATGAAGTTAGCCATCACGGCATTCCTAGTCATCTCGCAAAAGATCTTCGGGCTCAGGCAGTGTTCTTCACAGAGCGGCTGAATCGGTACCTTAGAATCATCAAGGCCTGGCGCGGAGACACGACACCTGGTCAACTGCTCCCCCGCCGCCTCCTCCTCACTCGTCCGACTGCTGCTCCTGGTCTTACTCCTATACTGCTACAGCTACACCCACTACTACTATTGCTACTGCTACTCCTACTCCTAC